GAACTATAAAAGATGAAGAAAGATTATAAAAATTCCTACAATGAGATCCTGTTTCAGATTGCTTTGCTGATATGTCAACTTCTTACTCCAATTTAAAGAAAACCAAACTGGAAATAATAAAAGATGGGTTATAGGTATATTTTATGCAAAAAAAGATGAATAAAATCTAATAAAAGGCTTTCCCCTACATAAAGAAATGACAAATGTACATTTATATATTTTTTTAATTTATAAAGAAAAGAGATTTATTTGGCTCACAGTTCTACAAGGCTGTACAAGGAGCATGGGACCAGCATCTGCTTCTGGTGAGGATTTCAGGGAACTTCTAATCAAGGTGAAAGGTGAAGGGGGAGCAGGCAAGTCAGGTGACGAGAGAAGGAGCAAGAGAGAGGGAGGAGGTGGTGCCAGGCTTTTTTAAGCAATCAGATCTTGTGGGAACTAACAGAGTGAGAACTCACTCATTGACACAAAGAGGGCACCAAGCCATTGATGAGGGACCCGCCCCCATGACCCAAACAACTCCCTTTAGGCCCCACCTCCAACACTAGGGATCAAATTTCAACATGAGATTTGGAAGGGACAAACATCCAAATGTAACATATGGCAAATGCTTATATAAAACATTCGGTATCCCCCTCATCCAGTGTGACAAATGTTTCTGTGATACTCACTTGCCAAGAGAGAGAGTTACTCGGCTTGCTAGGTGTTCATTGTTGCTATGGCTCTGTTCTGCATGGGCCAGAGCAAACAGGCAAACTGTGCTAATACGCAGTGGTGCAGCAATGCTGGAACACCATTGGGCAGGTTTTTATGAAGTTAACCATATACTTACCCTATGGCCCAACAATTCTATTCCTGCATATTTATCCTATAGAAATAAAAATTGATGTTCACACAAAAACCTATACATGAATGTTCATATCAGCCTTGTTTGGAATAGCTAAAAACTGAAGACAACTCATATATCTTTCAATAAGTGAAAGAGATTATGATATATTCATGAAGCTGAACACTATTTAGCAATAAGAAAGAGCTAAGAAATGATATACACAATGACCTACATGAATTTCAAAGGCATTATGCTGAGTATTTTAGAAAGCTAATTTTTTAAAGGTTATAAATTATACAATTTTATTTATATAAAATTCTTGAAACGACTAAACTCTAATGATAAAGAACAAATTAGTGTTTGCTAGGAAATAGAGACAAGTGGAGGGTGTGACTATAAAGGGACAACACAAGGAAATCTCTTAATAGTTTTAGAACAGTTCTATATACTCACTGTGGTGTTCGTGACATGACTATATATGTATGTTAGATTAAATTTTGTAGATACATAAAAGTGCTTAGAAAAAGTGGTAATATCCGAATAAGTTCTGCAGTTTAGTTACTAGTATTATATACCTAGTATTATACTGATGTCGGCTTCCTGGTTTTTATCGTTATACTGGTATCAATTGTGTGAAGTGTACATGAGAACCTTCTGCATTATTTTTGCAACTTCAATGTGAGTATAAAATGATTTCAAAATAAAAACTTTTAAAAATCCTCTCTGCTAAATAACCATGATTAATAGGTTAGTTTCTAGGGGGAAAAGTGGACAATATGGATGTACAGTTGAATGATTTCAATAGAAGATAAAAACTATAAGCAAAATTCAAGTGAAAATGTGAGGGGAAAAAAAACGCAGTAATAATTCACAGAATTCATGCAAGAAATAGTCAGTCAGTAGACTTTATACAGCCAAAGGAAGAATTAGGTCATTTGAACATAGACCAATAAAAATTACCCAAAGTGAAAATCAATGAGAAAAAGACAAGGTCGGGGGCACAATTCAAAAACTGTGACACTCTATCAAATGGTCTAACATATACATAATTGAAGTCACAGAAAGCGAAGAAAATGGACCAAAGAAATATTTGAATAATAGCCAGAATTCTCCAAAAAATAATGAAAAACATCAAAGCTAAATTCCGAAATTCTTAAATAACCTGAAGCAAGATAATTTTTTAAAAGAAAACTAGATACAACTTATTCTGATGCTTAAACTACTGCTTACCACTGCTGCAAAAAGATAAAGAGAAAACCTTGAAGACAGCCAGGCAAAAAAGACAAGAACACATTAAATACAAAGTTGTTAAAAGAATACAAAATTACAGCTAGATAGGAGAAATAAATTCTAGTGCTCTATACCACTGTAGGAGATAGTTTCAAATAGCTAGAAGGGGGATATTGAATGTTTCTAACACAGAGAAATGATAAATGTTTGGGATGGTGGATATGCCAATTACCCTGATCTGATCACTATACATTATATGTATTGAAACATTAATGTGTACTCCATGAACAGGTACAATCAATATTTGTCAATTAAAAAATACAAATAAGTAAATAAATACAAATAAGCAAGCATAAGAATTATAGCACACTTCTTGTCAGAAACAACTCAAGCCAGAAGATCAAACAACATCTTTAAAACCAATTAGGGGATAACTGTCACCCAGAATTCTACATCTAGCAAAAATATCTGTTAAAAATGAAGGTAAAGAAAAGACTATTCAAGATTTTTTTTTAAATGAGGAGAATTCATTACCAGCAGACCTGTACTTCAATAAATATTAAAGAAAGTTCTTCTGACAGAAAGAATATGACATCAGACCAGAAATTTGATTTATATAAAGGAATAAAGAGCTCTGAAAAAAAGTAAAAATAAAGATTAATATTAAAAAATACATTTTTCTTAGTTTTAAATAACTCTAAAAGGTAATTGACTGTTTAAAGCAAAATTGTAGCAGTGGGGTTTATAGCACATGTAAAATTTAAATGTCTGATAATGGCACAAAGTTTATGAGGGATTTGAATGTACAAGTCCTCACGCTATATAAGAATTTGTATAATAGTATATAAAACAACTGGTAACTGGTACTCAGCCTTTAGTTACTGCAGGGAGGATCAATTCAATGGGTGCAATACTGGAATCACCATTTAAACTAGTTAGGAAACTGCAGAAGCTCAAGAAAGACATTATCAAATAGCAGAAATATAGAGAAGATATAGATCTGACCTATACTTTATAGGGTGCAATCAGGACGATTTGGTAACTGAATATTAAGATGTTTTGAAAGTGAGATAGAGGGAGGATTCTACAATGCATTATGAGTTCTTGGCTTAAGTATCCGTGGTAGGTAGTGGTGCCATCAATTGAGTCTGAAAATAGAAGAGTATGAGCTCATTAAGATGAACAGTTATGAAGTTTGGACTTAACTGGCATTTCAGATAATTTACATGCAATGTTATTATTGATATGTTTAGGTTGAAATCTATCATCTTGTTAGTTGCTTCTATTTGCTCCATCTATTTTTGTTATTATTTTCTTTCTATTTTTGCCTGGATTAATTGAATTTCTTATGATTTCATTTTGTCTCCACTATTGGCTTGTCGATCACATCTTTTTATTCTATTTTTTTAATGTCAACCTGGTGTTTACAATATATACCCTCTCTACATCTCTACTGTTATTTGATATACACTAGGTAATGATCATTTATTTTTGAACTTCTGCACAGTTCTCTGACTAGTCTAAATAGTAATTCCAGTATAGGACCTACACTTTTCTAACTAGTCTAAATGGCAATTCCTGTACCGGACCTAACAAATTGATCTTCCCCACAGAAACTAAAGAAATCTTTTTAAAATACATGTTTGAGTGCTCCACATCTCTCACAGTATAAAGGAAAAAGTGCAACCTCTTTGAATTGGCACAAGACCCTAAAAGGTCCGCATTATTCTTGTCTCTCCAGCTCCAATTCTTGTCACTTCCTAGCTCCTATTTAGGCTTCAGCAACAACAAACCGATGTCATTTCAACTACACAAGCCACTCAGTTTCTCATGTCCATAAGTTTGTTCATGCTGCCATCTATGCCAAGAACCAATGTCCTTCATTCCCTGTTCATCTGACCAGTTCTTACAGAACGGCTCAGCTGTTGCCTCATTCTTCACTTCTTCCCACTCCACCTATATCTGTACTCCAACTGGGAACCCCCATTTAATGTTTCCAAGAAACCCTCAAAGGAACAATAAAGCCTGCTGTGAGTCTGCTTTGGCATTTCAGAGCATTACAGTTTTCTTAGGATCTTTCACAGAACAAATTTTAAAAAGCAGGAGTAATGCATGGAAGTGATTAAGTCCTTAAAGTGCATCCTTTGTTCCCAAGGTCCTGTTAATTACCATTTAGGAGCAGCTTATTTGCAATGTACCCAATTACTTAGGTAACTAAATAGCTTTTTACTGATCAGATTGGGCTTCGTTTGCTTAATAGCAACTAACAAATGCTGTGGCACTGTTCCACTGATAATCCACTCCCAGAAATAGGCTTATTTAAGATTGAGCTCCAAGGGAAAAAATATATTTTACCAAAATAGATTTTTTATTGTTTATATAGCCACTTAGATCTACCTAGAGAAAAATAAGATAATTTTTTTTTAAATTAAGCAATCAGTAAGTCAAAAGAGAATATCCAAGTAACTCTGATGTCCATTCTATTCATTTGTTCAGTCCATTTCTGCAAGGAAAAGCTTCATTATGTTTCTGTTTGATCAGTCACAACCCACAACTCTCAAGGATTATTTGAGTCTGACCTTCTCAGTAAGAACTTCTCTTAAAACCCAGAACAGTCATGGGGTTTTCTTCTCTCCAAGCTTTTGGCACTTCTGTTGTAGGCCCCATGCACTTGCCAATGCTACTTCTTGTTACCTGTAGAGAAACAAAGGGGCAGAGACAGACAGACAGGCCTAAGCCTGGGAGAGCCACATGCCCTCCTGTGGTGGACCATACCATGTGAATGGTCAAGGAGAGCTTCTAGAGAAGGAGATATATTAGCTAGGTATTGAATGATAAATAAGAATCCAATAGGCTGGAAAATGGAGGGAGGCTGTTCCAAGCAGAGAGAATCCCTATCTGGAAGTAAAGATGTTTGTACAATACGGGATTCAACGTTGAAATGCCAAATGGGGACTTGCCAAGAGGTAAGTCATCTTATCGTCCCAACCATTCATTCTTGATCAAAGCTCAGAAACATTCTAAAAGCAGTAGGGTTTCTTATACTGCAGCCCATACATGCTGCAGAGCCCTTCCCCACCCCACACCCACTCAAACCTGTGAGACCGCCATACCGTTCAGTGCCCGGGCCAGAGCAATATTCCTGCATGTGAAATGTGTTGCCTCCAGAACCCAAAGAGGCCTCGCAGGTGTCTTGCTTCCTTTACTGAGGTAGAGAATGCAAGATGCAGCAGTTTATCTTTTACTTGGAAATAGTGTGTGTGTGTGTGGGGGGGTATTCTAGCAACTCCTCACTACTGAACCACTGAAAACTTTACTGATGTGGCCTGTTCCTGAATTTTCACAGAGCTTATCTCCCACCTTCCAGAGTGTATGTGTCTGACCAAGGCCTGTAATGTACTAGTCACCTCATGCTTGTCCTTCTTAATGATGTTGTTAATGTAAATAGATCGATGTGATACTCTGCAGAACGTCCAGATGGCCCAGGTCTCTTCAGCTTCAGACTTTATTATAATAGCTATTAGGAGAGTTAACATAGCCCTGAACAAAACAGAAAATGAGTATTATCGTCTGTTTTGTGTGAGTACAAACTCTTCCTTGTCTTTTTTTCTGGTCAGATTAGAAAAGAACACTCTTGCCAAATCAATACCTGCATACCCCATACCTAAGACCTCATTAACCTGCTCTAGCAAAGAAACTATGCCTGCTACTGCTGCTACAAGCAGGACTGCTACTTATTTGAGCTTGTGGCAGTCTACAGTCATTCCCCAAGATCCATCCAGTTTCTTTAGGGACCAAACCAGTGACTTGAGGACTTCCACTTGGCCTTCCCTACTATAATGGGAAAACCCTATGGGGTTACTGAAACTGCTGCATATATCAAGCCCAGTTAAACACTTGGAGACCAAAGGAATAACCAGGAGTGGTGCCAGACCTAGCGGACCATTTCACTGCAGCCAGGATTCCATTTATTACCCAGCCCCATGGGATTCCACTCTAACAGTGGGGTCATAATGACACTTCAGGTATCTGAATTTCATGTCAGTTAAGATCTTATACTTAATAGCCCTTAAAATGTCTAGGTAACCTCCTTTCCCCAGTGTACAGTCACCCAAACAAACAGCCATATGTCCTTTTGAGGAAGGACTCGGGGAATCATTGCAGTAAGTACTTGCCATAGTTTTGCAAGATCTGACTTATAACTACTTCTCCCACCATCCTTCCTGGCCTGCAGGTGGAAGCCACCACTGGGCCTCTTGGGGATGCTAGTGTCCCTCTCACCAGTGCATTCCTGGTGGTTTTGACAAACAATATGCCTGCTAAGCCCTCCCACAGGAAATAAATCTCTCATGGGTCTTCTGGCTTTACACAGTCTATCCACTGCAGCATGCCCGCTTGCTTCAGCCTTTGTTTTCTCCCCCTACTATCTACCAGAGCAACCAAGCACTTCCATTTTGCTTAGGAAGGATCATCACTTTCTCAAGGCTTCCAAGAGCTACCCTAGCAGTGAATTTGCCCTGACCCCAGCATCCTTGACGGAGTGTTACATCCCTTTTCCCCGAAAGGTGACCCCAAGTCAGTGAATTCTTGCTTATTTGGTCTTATGCTCCAGTCCTATAGATCAAACAGCAGAGAATCCCTGCAGCACTGTTTTGAGAAAGATTCTGGAACAGATGATCAATTATGATCAATTATTAGTGACATCTGTCACGGAGGGGTGACAGGGAGCTTCTACACATGTTTTGCCATTTCCACTGTAGACATCTGTGCAACTTGTACAGCCTGTAATTGTGGCATTGAGTGCAAATGATATACCCACAGGAGAACAAAGTTCTGACCTTGGCCTTAGTTCCTCTGTAGTTTATCCAACTGTGTTAATTAAATTAACACCTCATGTACTTGATTTTTTCCAAGGGCAGGTGTTGAAAGGGGAAAGGAGAAGAAAGTAGAGATACCTGGGGGGAGGGGTACTGAATGGGGGGTAGGGAGATAATAAGAGATCTAAGCTGTAAAATAATGGATGCAGAAAGGAGAATTTTGAGGGGTTTTCTAAAGGTAAAGATTTTGCCTTTCTCAATTTTGCCCTCTTTTGATTCTCACACAATGCTTTCTTCAGAACAGATACAGAACCCCTTAAAACTCTCCTTCTGTGACTTAAAAGGTCAACTCTAAGATTAGTGTGATTCTTCTTTAGTCATTACTGAAATCCTTCCTGAGTGGTTACATCTAAGTGGTAACAAGCTCCAGTAATAAAAATCAAAGGACTCCTGTGTTGCCTTGCTTGTCCTCCGTGGCCATCTGATAAAGAAGAAAAAAACAAAAGTTTCCTCAGGAATTTATTTCTATTGTAGCATAGCTATAAATTTGAAAAAGACTGAATTTAAGCATTTATGTGTTTTTGTTAGACACTTTCACGGGACTGGTCAACATCCTGACAGATATCATTTGGCGATTCACTGGAGACTTCATGGCGCCTGACCTGGTTTGCCGAGTGGTCCGCTATTTGCAGGTATGTAGCACTTTCCGAATGTGATGAACAAACTGATGCCAAAGTTCTCTTTTAGATTCATCATAACAAATATAATAAAAATCTCAGCACTTCTATGAAACAACTGCCTACTTTCTCTTGGATGAAAGAAGAAGCAAAATTTGAAAGATTTTTAAATGTACTTTTTTGCTAAAAAAAAATACATATATAAAGAAAACATAAATAAGCAATAATAAAAAAAAAGCATTCATATTTCCAACATTAAGTAAAATGTCTGGGTCAATATTAAGGTTTTTGACATATTGTGAATAAATAATCCAAACAAAATTTGCCAATTATATGTACCTTTTATCCCTCGAATTGAACTGGCTACTGTTCTTTTTGGAAAAACGTGGGGAATTTGTTAGAAAATAAGTATTTTGTATTTAATTAGCACCTAAATTGCAGTATTATATATTTAATTACCTGCCTAAATTGCCTGTTATGCTTTTTAAATTTGTTGTAACTTGGGATATTGAATTATTTTTCCTGAGTTTTGCAAGTTTATTTTTAAGATTAAAATATCACACTCTGCCTGTCAATATCTTCTTATAATCACATTTATGACATATGTATATTTTATTTAACATGTACATATATACCAATATTATTATAATACATCATATATGATATAGATTAAGACACTTAACTAAGATGGAAAGAATGGACATTCATAATGGTGTTAGAGTTGATGTACTCTGTTTTTGAGTGATATACACTGTTTCATAAAATATTTCATTAATATATTTTATTCTGATGCCAGTGCTTCCAGATCTAATTATTATAGATTTACAGATGTATAATGCATTTTTAGGAAGCCTTACCCTGCCAATTCCATTTGTTAGTAGGATTTTTGGATCTTTGTATCTATATGCATAAGTAAGACTATGATTTTTCATTTACTTTATGACTTTCAAATTGGTGATGGAATTATTCATCTTTAAGAAATGATAGGGAATAGTTACAATTATAATTCCCTTTTGTGCTCTGAATATAATCTTGAAAGTTTGAAAGATGTGAAAGATTACTATTATATATGGGGCTAATATTTTCTTAGGAGTAATTTTTAAACCATATTTTAGTTTCTTCTTGAGAATTTTTCAATTGTCTATTGTATTAGTAATCAATTGCTGGGATACAAATGATGATAAGATTTAGTGGCTTAAAACTATTAAACATTTATTATCTCGCAGTTTCTATTAATCAAGAATTCAGAAACAAGTTGTCTGGGTAGATCTGAATAAAGTTTTATCATAAGATTCACTCAGATTATTCGTGGTACTACAGCCATCAGAAAGCCTGGTGAGACACAGGTGAGATAATTCACTTCCAAGGTGGATTACTCAGATGGCTGGAAAGTTAGTGCTGGGTTTGGCAAAATACTCACTTCTCCACGTGAACTTCTCCACAGGGATCCTTTTTAGTACCCACACTCTCACTTCTTTCCATAGAAGAATCCGCCAAGGACCAAGAAGGAATGGCAATTGTATTTATGAACAGCTCAGAAATTACACACCATCCACTCACACAACCTTTTCATTCACTTCTAGCAATCCTCCCCCTGATCAGTATGGTGAGAAGTAGGAAGCCAAAAAACACCAGGAGTGCAATGGATCTAGGGACACGGATAGAGTCACCCACACATACCTTTTCACATTTGGAACTCCATTGTCATAAGCATAATTTTTTTCTTCTATTAACTTAAAAATATCTGCTTGATTTAGAAAAGTTCATGTCAGTACCATTTCTTCTAACTATTTTACAATGAATATTAAGATAATACTATACATAAAATATATCTTCATGATAAAACAAAAATGTCAGAGAAAGAAACTTTGATAATTCTCTTTTCTATAAAAGCAGCAAAAAAACTGGCAAAAAATGTCAGAATCAATTTTTTTTTCAGGACTCTAGAAATTAACCAAAGGCTTACAGGGAGCATTTATTCAAGAAAATGGCTAACGCTCAGTAAGAAAAATGAGATGCATGGTATGTTAGCTTGCATTATTCTCCTCCCCCAGCACCTAGCTCATTGGTACCCTTGAAAATTAACAGATCTTATTCATGGTTAAAACAAATAGTCTGGCAGCTATGTGAGAAAGCAAAACAGGGCTAGAGCTCTTGAAAGCCTCATTCCCAAGAAATTCCCATTATTTGACATGTCTGACAGTTCTCTGAATGCCCCCACTTGCAAGGCTGTCTGTATTTCACTTAATTTAGAACTCACCCACTGTGAAAAACTCTTTTTCTATGGATATTTGTCAAAAACAATTATAGGCAATTGATTAACTTCATAGATGCCTGAGGTATTAGATAATAGTTGGGGAAAACAATAGACTAACCAAAGTTTATAAACATAAGCTGGGTAAAGAGATATTCACAGGGGCTTCGAAAATTTTTGACATATTCCTGAGAACATAGAAGACCAAATACATTCCCAGAACAGTGCCCATATTCATGAAGAAATAGCGAAAGCCCTGAGATGTTACCTTTGACCTCAAGGCTTTGTGCGAGCAGGAAGGCACTTGAAGGCAAAGGCAGAACAGTCAGCTTCCTGGCTGAGTGTCAAAATCATGCCCCAGCATTCACACAGAGCCACTCTCCAATGACTGGGAGACATATTAGTTCGAGGAATTTAAAAATATATCTGTTTAGGAGACATTACCAATGGCAGAGTAGCAGAATGTCAACACAAAGTAAGTGACTGAGGCAAAAATCTCAATCAGTGAGGTTTATTGACTCAAAGTTGAGGATGCACCTGGGAACAACACAAACCACAGAGAAATCTGTGGCTCTTTTCCTGAAGGGGAATTTGGGAGTTTCAACATTTAAGGGCATACAGAAAGAAAAGAAAAGGCAAGGTGGGCTAGTGAGACAAAATGGTTACATTCTTATAAGACCCAAGAAAGTCTACATTTTATATATGATAAGGTGAATGTTAGAGGAGAAAAAGGAAGTGAAAGTAGCACCAATTATATAGATGTCCCTGGGTAGGTAGAAGAATGTCTGATTCTGCTTCTCGTTGTCCTGCACCTGTGAAGATAAACTTATAATTCATTATTAGAGTAGAATTGGAACAGACTGTAGTTGTAAGAGCTAGACATAACCTATAGACCTAAAGATAATTTGCATGTCCTGCTTATGGGAGCCGAGCAAGAAATTTTCTTAAAGAATGATCTGTGAGTTGGGGGAAACAATGGAGGAAGAAAGGCAGCTTGCCAGCACACTGCTCCCAAGGAAACAAGTGAAAGGTATAGGCAGCTGCCTATATACAGATCACTCTTCTCAGCAGCATTGTGAAATCACAGAGAAGCAGCATGGAACACTCCAGGCTCTAACCTGAGAGGATTTGGGTGACCACTGTGGCAGGGCCTGGGTGAGGAGGGGAGAACTCCATGGTGCCTGGGCCATCCAGAACTGACATCTGCCCACCTGACTTGGCATTCACAGGACCCCTGAGCCTGTAGAGCAACATACAATCTACAAAGTCCCAACTCCCTCCAAAGACCCCAACTGCCTCCTACCTGCTTGGCCCTTACCCTACCCTCCAGGTTGAATCAGCCCTGCTGTCCACACAAACCTGCTTCTGGCTCCTCAGCCCTGCTTAGAAGCTCTGCTTCTGGCTCCTCCCTAGTCCTGCCTTTGAGACTCTCATTCTGGAGCCCAAGCCTCTGCCTCTGTGCCTCCAGAACCCCTTCCAGAACACAGTCCACAAGTTTCCACACTGCACCTGAACCTCAAGACCCCATCTCAGAACCTCCACCACCACAGCAAGGCCAGAAGAACTACTCCAAAGTCCAATGCCCTACCAGGCCTCAAGCTGCCAGTATACTGCAACCTGGTTTGAGCAAATGCACATAGCTTGAGAACCCATGAAAAGCACATACAGCTGATGCTATTATCTCTGTGGAGAAATTCTAGTTAGAGTAATCCCCATAATACCAGCCTCAGTGATAAGGATCTCACCCAGCGCCCAAATCAAACATCCTACAACTATCTGATGAATGACCCAAGCAGCATTTAGCACAGGCTCCAGCAGAGGCAATCCCAAGTAAACAGAATAAATCAGAAGAGCTGAATTACAAGCTTCTAGAGCACATCCACCTCCTCTGCCACGTGAATGTCATTCCAGAGTGGGGGTTGGGGGGAATGAGCACCATCTAGTAACATCCCCTTACTCTAATCAAGCAGGAGAGTTTCCAGCCCTGCAAAGCTATTAGCCCTGAGTTGAGCAAAGAGGACTCAGATGAAAAGAAACCAGCAAAACAACCCTGGCAATATGAAAAATTAAAAGATCAACACTCCCAAGGAATCACAATAGTGAACTCCAACTACAAGGAAACTGTCAAAATGACAGAAATGGAAATCAGAATATGGATGGCAAATAAAATGAGTGGAATTGAAGAGAAAGCTAAAAAACAACCAAAAGAAGCCCAAAAAATATATCATGAAATTAATGAAAAAGTCACTAAAAACTAGATAAAATTAGGAAAGATATAATAGAACTTAAAGAAATGAAAGAGTCATGCAGAGATTTTGAAAACACAGCAGAAAGTCTAAGTAACAGATTAAACCAAGGAGAAGAAAACATCTCAGACCTTGAAGTCAAGACTCTCGAGCCAACCCAATCATTTAAAGAGGCAGAGAAGAGAAGAAAGGCAGAACAGTCACTTAGATGTGGGACTATGTGAAGCAAACAAACATGAATTATAGGTACACCTGAGGGAGAAGAAGAAAGTGCTACAAGCAAGCAAAATCTATTTAAAGGAATTATTCTAAACTTCATATGTAAATACAAAAGATCCTGAATCGCCTAAACAATCTTAAACAAAAACAAACAAACAAACAAACAAAAATACCAAAGCTGGAGGCATCAAAATATACTACAAAACTATAGTAACCAAAACACATGATACTCGCATAAAAATAGGCACATAGATCAATGGAACCGAATAGAAAGCCCAGAAATGTATCTACACATT